GAGTGGGAAAAATTTAGCTCCTCGGGAACAATTGATGAAACAAAGAAGAGATTGGGATGCACAAGAAAAATATAAAATATAAAAATATAAAATTGAAGAAGACCTTTGAATATATATTTATATGTTTTTTTTTTATGAACTTTTATACATTTTATTATTAACCTTTGGAACAATTTTACTTATGTCAAATGTTTTTACTTGCGTCATTTTTGACTTATGGCAGCAAATTTGACGTAATAGTTTTACAACTTTTGTCAAACAACGTTATTCCATATTAATATTTAAATTCAAAAAATAGTATGTATATAGCTTTACAAAATTCTTTAACGTTTTATAATAATTAATACAATTGTTATTTTTAAAGAAATTAAATATAACTTGAGCGATTTTGCTTTATGGTATTGTGTGAATAGATTTCGCAATGATGCTATACTGACTTGTTATTTTCTCTGGATTTCCAGTATGTGGGTCATGGATCGTGTGATAACTCTTTAATTTGCTAATCGAATTTGAAATATCCAGAGCTGGCTGGTTGAAATCTTGATTTTCATTACATATGTACTAATTTTTGCAGGCGAAAAAGGATGAGTGTAAAAAATGCATTCTTTAATCCTTAATTTATTTGGTTCGCGTTCAACTTAATATGTCCTAAATCTTCCAGGCAGGTTTATTTATATTTAAAGGACGTCATTTTTAAGATAATAAAATTAACTTGTACCTGTTCGTGAAAGTTGTGAAAATTGTTTTTATGAAATACATATCATAAAATACTGTATATAAGAATTCAATGATTCATTTTATTTAATATTAATATTAATGATTTAATCAAGCGAATATTTTGATAAGATTCATTTTTTTGTTTCTCTTTTAACAAATTGAGTTCCATATCGATTTGTTGTTTAAAAATATAAGAACCGAAGCATATGATGACAACGAATAGGTATATGAAGAATTATCAATGTTACGATGAGGATAAATATAGGGATTAAAATAAAATAACCCTCTAATGGCATTTTTGAGAGAGCTTCAGAAAATTCAGTTCGCGTCATCTAAAAATAATATCAGTCAGCCTGGTGGTTCATTTATAATATAACGAGATACAAGTAGCATACACACCTTCGATTTTGACAAATGTAAGAATAAATGATTTAATTTTACGCAGTTGCAATTGTTTATTTTTTGTAATCGTGAGTTTCTGATTGATTTATTTAATGAATTTTTTATTCGAATGTTATGAAGTATAAAAAGTAATTCAAACAAATTCATCCTGGTTTTATACATAACTAAAGATTTCTCTGATGAGGCTAATCGATCTCATAATTATTTGTGAATTCATTCTGATAGGTAAAATCCAAAACTTCAACCCTTCTCATACGACGCACAGGCCCTCATTCGATGTTAAAAAATAAGCTTAGTCATTTTTACTTATTTTATAGTTGAAAATAATTTAAATTTCAAATGGAAGAATATAATAGCGATACCAAATTAGTACAAGAATGCGCAACAGAGATAAGATCAATGTTGAGGAGTCTCACACTGGTTGATTCGTGCTCAGAATCTCCGACCATATCTTATAAAAAAGTAAAAAAAGATGGGTTTGAAAATAGATAAAAATCCACCTCAAAGTGCTAATAGAATACCTTCCAGTATTTGTTGGACAAATACAATACAAAAAAATTTATATTGGTTTTTATAAATTACTGGAAATAGTAAAACCAGATATCATAAACTCAATAGTCTCGCAAAGTAAATGTTTTAGTGAATCGGAATCATCGGAGTCTAATTTTCCTACTGATGTACATATGCGACAAATAAAGAAGAAGTAACACATAATTGGTAATTATACAGGTCGATGATTTCTTCTACAGCATCTGGTTTATTATGTGACTTGACACTAGCTCCGCTATTCATTATACTATAATGATCTGATGCAATATGAGACTGCTTTTCTATATTAATATATAAAATAAATTTGAATTTTCTTACATCTGTAGTAAATGGATATATATAATAAATTTGAATTTTCTTATGTTCATAATAAATGGAATTAATGGATGAATATACTGTATATATAAAATATTGAGAAAGTAAAATAAATTTGAAATTTCTTACATCCATAATAAATGGAATTAATGGATGAATATATATATATAATATTGAGAAAGTAAAATAAATTTGAATTTTCCTACATCTATAATTAATGGATATATATAATAAATTTGAAATTTCTTATGTTTATAATAAACAGAATTAATGGATGAATATATATATGAATTTTCTTATGTCTATAATTATTGGAGTAGTTAATCTTAGGCCTTTTTGTTCATTTTCTTCTATGATATATGATGACCTTGAATTATCTATATTTTTAAATGCTCAATAAAATAATTATTGGCAACAAGTTGATTATGAGTGTTGTGTTTGTCATTATAATTTATATACATATGATTCTATGAAAAAAAATAATAATAATCGCAATTTCAAGTTTTATTTCTGAAAAAACTATTTTGTAAAGCTTTGGGGATTAGTGGGAATTATGAAACTATATATCCAAAAGAATATTATTTAACAGTTATTTTTTAAAGTTTTATATAAAAAAACGATATAACATAATAATAAAGGCGTTTTCTACTCATTTGTAGCGTATATGAATTGATCAACAAAAATTTCTAGAAACGATTTCCAAATTTGGAAAAATCCTGACTGCATTATAGTCGTTTTCAAAAAATTCTATTTTTTAAATGTTTTTAGTGATCCAAATTACACGAGTAAAACTACCTTGATCATTAGCAAAGAATTAAAATTTTTCTTTTGGTATTTAATAATATGGTTATTATTCATTTAAAATTTATTATGTATATTTATTTTAATATTAAATAGAAAATTTACTATATATTACTATTGTCTTTAACTTTTTTTGAAATAACCTAACAACAAAAATTTTTTTTATGATTGGCTGCGTATGAGGCAAGTGATTTAAAAGAATTATTTTATCCTCGCCGATCATTATATAAAATCACATGGCTACACTCTACTCTTGAAAGAATCACGAATTAAAAGTTAAAAAAAAATTTACATTGATATTATTTCAGATCAGATAATATAGTGGAACAAAAAGTGAGAGTAGGAATTAATGATGTATGACAAAACTTTTGACTTTAGTCATTGGCGTAACTAAAGTATTGACTAAAGGTAGTTTCTCACCAGGGACATTTTGACTATTTGACTAAAATAAAAGCCCCTGATATAAGTAAAACCACTTGAAATAATTAAAACATTTGACTTAAATAAAAACACTTGATACAAGCA